ACGGGAACGTCCGTCGCGGCACTGACATTGCTCTCTCAGCAAAAAGTCAACTTCCATTAACAATGTCACACTTGTCTATTTCCATGTTCTATCGGGATAAAAGGATTCCTTCAACAATGCGGTGTTCTGTATGTTTTCTGTGACGTTTTTTTGTTGTTTGTGGGCATCAGGTCAGCAGAGCCGAGCTCTCGGAGGGCCGCGTCGAGCTCGTCAGGAGCGTCACAAGAAAGACGAGAGCAAAGCGAGTCTGCTCTACGATGAAAACATGCTAGAGAACGACCCTCAGCGCCAAAGCAAAGATGTGGCCTTTGCTCAGAGTTACCTCAACAGGGTGAGACGACGCGCTGCAAACATTTCTCACCGCCACCATATGGCCTGAAAATGAACGCCAGACAAAAGTACAGTCGCCATTTGAAGTGATTCTTCTTTGACAACTTCACCGCTGGGAAAATGTAAAATCAACAATTGTCCCTCCCGTCTGGGATTTTCTTTATTTCTTTTGAAGCCAAACAACACAAAGGAGCCTTTCTTGGGAACGTTAAGCCTTGAATAGAAATGCAGGATGTTGACGAAGTTGCACCCAGGGGAGGTGCAGGCAGAAGTTGGCATGTCGGTGGAGGAGCGATTCAGGATCCCGCTGATATCCGTTTGGAGAGCAACAATGTTCCCCCCTGAATAGTGAAAATCGAGGACTTAGTTGACCCCCCTCGTAAAGATTTAGACAGTAATTGTTTGTAGATGTCACAAGATGGTGGCAAAATACTACAAAACGCAATTCCAAAGAGGTTGCCAAGTTGTGTTGAACATAAACACAAACAAAATACAATGCTTTGCAATTCATGGTCAACCTAGATATAATTGAATCCACTACATCTGTTTTTATTTATGTTTGCCACAACATCCCATACATAAAAATTACTTTTAGGTACCGTATTTTCCGCATTATAAGGTGCACCGAAAAGCATTCAGTTTTCTCAAAAGCCAACAGCGCGCCTTATACTCCAATGCGCCTTATATATGGATCAATATTCTGATTTCGTGGACGTGGTATTTTAACTGTTCTGTAAAGCGCACTGTTCCAGCTGCAGTGGTGGTGAAGGTGCATTATAAATAAAGCTGCTTTGTATTGTATTCCCTTTAGCATAGCTCCACCTAGTGGCTGCATAAGGCAACCTCAGCCACTATTGTAGCATCTATTCTATGCGCCTTATAATGCGGTGCGCCCTACACATGAAAACAGTTTTAAAATAGGCCATTTATTGAAGGTGCGCCTTATACTCCGAGGCGCTTTATAGTGCGGAAAATACGGTATGTGAAATGTAGCCTTTCTAAGCAGATGAATCAAATACACACAGTTTTCGCGCCAGTTGATGTTCCGTTAGCGCTGAGCGGCCGTCTGGCGTTTGTTCAAACCCAAAACTGACGTTTTGGAAATTGAACTCATTGAATGTGCTCATTCAAAGACGTGGCTGCAGCCGGTAGACGCATCGGTAGACGAGAAGGGGTTGATGATCGCAGCCATCGCCAGACCACTTCTTTTTGGCGGGGGGTTGTCAAAGGTCAAATCTGATCAAAGGAAAGCACGTCGAAATTGAGCAGCCAGGTGTGCCACAGGGAAACGCTTCACGTTCATTTGCACGTCGTTCTAATTGTGATGCTTTCTCCTCCATTTGCGCCTCCCTGCATATTAGGCGAGCATTTTCTTTGTATGGCTTCACGTGTAAATCCGAATCCAAGTCATGTTGTTGCTTGTTTGGCCTTGAGGTTCGGGAGGCGCTGCTCGATGTCCCAGGGAAAATGGAGGAGTTTGTGTCGCTGCTGAACGACCTGGAGCGGCTGGAAGGACAGGAAGTGGTCGGCGTCTTCAGGAAACTACGCTGCATCCTGGGAAACCGGACGGACTTGACGCGGGACTTTGCTGCCTTCCTGCATCCGGAACAGGCCCTGGAGTGCGGACTGGTAAGGAGGAGGAGGGCGAGGGACACGCGGCTTTCCGTCTGGGGCACTGTTGCAGAAAAAAGGAGAAAACCGGAAGATAAAATGACCTTCTTTCTTTTTTTTTTTAACCCTGCTAAAGAGGTCAGACAAAGTCTGGCCAAGAGAGGCCTCAAACATGAAGTGTGACATCTTGTCAGGAGGCAGCCGAATAGATGTGACTGCCTCGCCCACCATTGAGCTCCCATCGAATTAGACTGTCCGACTCGCTCCAGGGGAAGTTGCAGGAGCATCTTAGACAGAGTGTGTGTCACCTTTAAATTGATTGAGGAACAAAAACATGCAACAATTGATCTCAAAACTGCTTTAAAAGACCTTAATCATGTGTGGGCGAGATAGGGGTGGGGTGATATAGTTTTGAACCTGGATTGAAAAGCTTCCAAAATTTGGGCTGGCTTCACTTCTGTTGGCAGCTGATTCTATTTGTGTGCAGCATAACAGTTACATGCTGCGTCACCATGTTTTGTCCTTATTTTGCCGTACAGTGCAGAGACGTAACTACCAAGTTGCCGCACGGGATCTATAAGGAAAGGAACAAGAAATGTTACTTCCATGAGTGTCTAGTTTACTCTGTGTAAACAAATGTAGTGCAACTCAGCCACTGGCTGGCTAGCCTTATGACATCATACACCTTTTAAACGGCATTTGTTTTCAGAGGATATGTTGAACCCCCCCCAAACTATTGTTGTTCTCTTGTATTCAGATTGGTTGTGACTTGGCAACAATAGAAAAATGCAGGTACCAGTTTGACAACAGTCCTGTGCAATTTTCCATGACAGTTTTGGGTGTGCGATGCGCCGGGTTATCATCATTCTACTTTTGTCATCATAGTTGGCTTTTAATTTGTTGTTTTTGAATTTAGTTAGCTTAAATTAGTTTTTAGAGCATGTTTGTTAGTTTTTATTCAATTTGATTTTTCAATTAATTTTCAAGAGTTCATTTTTTTTTTTTTTTAAGATGGAATATTTGTTAAGTGCAAAATAAAAGTCACTCAGTACTGTGTATTAAAGTAGACTACAATTCTCAAATGACTGTTTGCAGGACGGATAAGCAATACCAAAATAAACATTTAACATACATATAAAATGAAGGGCATTTTTGCTATAAATATTGTTCATATGTAGTTTTTGGTACGTTTTCTTTTTTTTGTATTAGTTTTAGTTTTTCTAAACTGGAACAACCTTGGTGCTGTGTGCAGTTCCAAGAGCAACAAGCCTTCGAGCGCAGTCGACGCTTCTTGCGACAACTGGAGATCACGTTCGGAGATAACCCGTCTCACTACAGCAAGATCATCAAGGCTCTGCAACCCGGACCGCACCTCAGTCCCACCGACATCGACGAGGTATGTTCCGGCCTTCGTACGCCAACCGCACCTTGTGGCTGCTCGTCGTCACCGTTGCTCGTCGTCACCGCTGCTCGTCTGCTGCTGCGGGTCCTTTAGCTCAAAGCTCAAATGGCCACGCTGCTCAAAGGACACCCTCATCTGCAAGCGGAGTTCTGGGTGTTTTTCGACGAGCTCCGCCCACCGCCAGCTCGCCCAGGACAATTCGAAGAAGCTCATTGGCCGGAGGAAGGCGGAGGCGGAGCAGAAGGAAGTGAGGGCAGAGGCCGCGTGAACGCAGGGGTGGCCGATGGCGCTTTTGAAGAAGTCACCTTACCGGATGTGGACGAGCACGGACACAAGATGGATGCCGCCATGAGCCGGCGCCAGAGGAGGAAACTCCGGTCGCGTGTAGCTGACGAGGTAGAAACAAATGGGAAGCCTCGCGATACCTTCATGTGCTTGCTCAATTTGCTGCGCCTCTTGCTTTCCTGTCAGGAATCCGATTGGGTTTGCCTTTGTCACCACTCCAAGAGCCGCGCACACCGTCGCAGAGGATGCACCCGCTGCCATGGCAATAAGGTGCGCCTGTGCTTTGTCAACGAGGCGTAGATTCGTGAGCAATGTGACGCCCCTCTCCCTTCCTGTCCAGGGTTCAGGGGGCGTGTCCAGAGCCATGAAGAGTCTAGACCTGCTCGACACTCAGACAGGCTCCGCCTTGGAAGACAAAGATGGCGAGTCAAAGGTCGCCAACTGTGCGCGTACCGGTGCAGCATCATGGGAACGCTCGTTCCCATCGGCTGACGACGAAGAAGCGGACGACGGCAACAAGGTGGAGTCACCTCCTTCCAAGAGGAAAAGGGAAGAAGAGGTCCATCCTCCCTCCTTGGCCTCCTCCTGCATCGCCCCCGTACCTCAGGAGCTCCCCGTGTGCGCCAAAAACATTTCTGTGACGCCGAGCGGAGAGAAAGTGATACTGTGGACCAGGTGCGTCCTCGCCCCTCCTCTCCCGCTACCCAGCGGGGTCAGAGTGAGCCGGGGGGCCACGCTCAAATAACTGCGGATTCTCTTTCAGGGAAGCGGATCGGGTCATTTTGACCACATGTCGGCAGGAAGGAGCCAATCACAACACCTTCCAGGGCATCTCCAGTTTACTGGGCAACAAGACTCCCGGGGAGGTGATTGGCCGCTGCAATGCGCTGTCAGAAGCCTGCCAAGCCGCTGTCAGTCAGTCGCTGACATTCCTTTTGTGGTTTTGTTGCAGGTTTCTCGGCGCTTTCGGGATTTAATGCGTCTTTTTCAGAGCGCTGCTCGTCACGGCGGCTCAGACGATGAGGCTCCGCCCTCTGAACTTGAGGCCAGTGAAGAACAGGACTGATCTTTTTGCCATGTGTCATACTGTTTCCTGTAAATAATTGTTCTCTGCTCGCTATTGAAAGGTTTGATGAGAATAAAATAAGATTTTTTTGTTTCCGTTTTGACTTCCATTTTCTGAGTGAATAAGAACCTCTGCCAAGAAGACATTTCTTGATAGTTTTCCCTCTTATCTAAGTAATTATATTTAGGAAGGTGAAAGTGTTGTGTAGTCAGGAGGCAAACATGTTTGGCAAATGAGGCATGATGTTTTGCTGCAGTCAGATTGCACGCTTTTAAGAGATGTGATTAGTGGTACAGAGGAAGCCAATTATCGTCAGAATAATTGGCTTTTATTACGAAAGGACAAAGCAAACATTTGAATATGTGCCATGTCAAGCTGATGCCGCAGCAAGTAGTTTGTCTGCAGCTCTTGCTTTTCATCCCCAGAACCTCTGTTGGCCGACGGGCACGATGGTGACGGGACGCTGAGGCGAACTCCACATGGATGCCGACTCGGCCGTGAAGATGAACACCAAGTTGGCCATCATCATCACCAGACAGGGTAGCAAGGACATGCCCAGTCCAAAAGCGCGAATGCTGCTGCCGAATGCGGCGGGCACCCAGTAAACCAACCTGCCGAGAGAACAAGGTTGCTTTATGGCACTTGCACCAGAGCCCAAAGCCAAACGTTTAGCGGCCGCACCGTCCCAAGGCGAAGATGATGGCGAACAGAGGCACAAGCTTCAGCTGCTCCTGGCTCAGATACATCGCCATGACAACCAGCTGCAGGAAGTACATCAAGAAGAGGCCGACAGACTCCCGCGTGTAGTTCCTGTGAACGCTGAGGTCCTCCAGATCCCCCGTCACCTCCATTTCGTCCAAGAGTGGCCTAACCACGCCAAACCTGAAACGCGCCACACCCACCGCCAGCCAACCTGACCAGCACATACAAAACAGCTAAGTCAGATGGTCAGAAGGACGAATGGGTGGGTTGGGGGGGAGTGTTGTAGTCACCCAGGACGATGGGAGTGGAAGCAAAGACGGAGCACCGTAGTGCATAGAGCATCTTGAGGGGTGCACCGTCCAGCAGGGGGGCATCAAAGGGCAGGAACACGAAACCCCCCCATACCAGGAAGGGGAAGAAGATTGCTGAGGTCATCAAGGACACACCCACCTTCAAGAAATCTCGACTGGGACAGCTATGTCCGCCTGAGACAAAAAAATAAAATAATAGATGTGCGGGAAGTCACACACCTGGCCAGGGTAGGAAGTTTTCCCAAGATTTACATGCAGCAGGCGATCTGTCATCCCAGTAGCTGTGCGGCTTGAGACCTCTCACATGGAGCATCTTGTCCCTTTCCCACATTGCTTGGGGCTCAGCCCCCACGCCATGGTTCTGGGCCCCCATGTACTCGTCCATGGGTGTCGGTCGGGCATGCTTGACGGAGAGCACGATAATCACACAGTTGAAGTTTGCACATTTCTTCTTCAAGTTCGAGTAGTTGATTGGAGTAAAAAATTAACCAGTCATTCTGATGTAGGAATCTTCCAAAACGGCAAACATGTTACTCGTTTAGGCCAATGTGATTCATAATAAAGCCATTAACAGACGACCGAATGAGAGAGAGAAAAATGAAGAAAATGGGGCTATTGCTTGCTTAATAATTCTTCAACCAAATTAGTAAGCACATTGAAGGGTCAACTTGACTGGTCAGTTTGGCTCTTCGAGTTAACTGTTTGTTTTAGCTAGCGACCGTTTCATGAATGATGTCACTCAAAAGAACGTGGCAGATATGACGTTCTCAACTGGAGCCTGACTAAAATTAAACCTTTCAAGTCGAGCCTTTGAGGGAAAAAAACGAATTATCCTCGTCAGAACGACTGTATACAAATTTGCCAAGTTACGTAGCGGTGTTTAGACTCACCGAGTACTCGATGCTAACAGGCTAACTTGCCGAAAAGATAGCAAGAAATCAAACATTTACTGATTTGGACGAGTTCAACTGACCACTCAGAGCTTCCGTCGTGTATTTGTTCTGGCCGTATTGGCCGTTCTCACGTTGAAAACAAAGAAGCAGCAAACCAGGTGTGTGTGTGTGTTTGTGCTACAGGTGAGCGACGTCAAAAACTCGCTAACTCCTCCTTTGAATAAAAAGTTGACAGCGGAAGTGGTAGCTTTTTCCAAACGATGCCAGTCTCAGTCCTGTTATCACTTAATAATGCAAAAACTTGTTTTATTTGTCTATTTGTCTCTTATGTACTCTTAAGCGTGTGTTATACGACGTCGTGGTTTAGTAGGTTTAAGATAGTTTGAAGATGACACACGAACTAGATTTACTAGTCTATAGTTTCAACTTGATACTCTAACCGCGGGTACAAGGTCTCCCACAGGGACCATATAAGCACCCCGCGGCCCTGACTGTTTTTCCGGGACATGGAGATGTTCTAAAAAAGATGTAGAAGTGGTTAGAGAGAGAGAGAGAGAGAGAGAGAGAGAGATGGTGATTTTCTCGGAAGGCTGTAGAAGTGCTCATGTGAAAATGCGAACGCTGGCATGTTTTTTTTTTTATACAAGAAAAAATACTCCGTTGCCTATTGATATGATGTTTCCTGATTGATGTGAGAAATCATTAACATATAATGAATGAATTACTACATACAATAAAAGAATATCGGTAACTAATAATAACACAATAGTAACATATTTGCAAGTAATTTGAGCGAACTTATTTCAAAAGTGCATATCAAACTGCCCTTTGTGTCTCCGTTTCAAAAAGGTTGGTGACCCCTGAACTAGACTATTGTATATGCGTGCATTGGATAAGAAATGTATAGACTTTTAATGACGTCACTCTTTCTTTAATTTGTGTACGTTTTTTCCTTTCGCGTCAGCGGCGTACACCGGTTAGGCGGGGCTAGCGTGGCGGGTTCCACGTCACCAGAAGAATGTGGAGCCAGTCACGTGACCTCCGGCAGGTTTCCGAATGGCTGTCGAGCGCCACGTGATCATCTGACACGTTGTCATAGCGATGGACCCCGCCCATTTGACCCCGCCCAGCCCTCCGTCACGTCCCGGCGTAGAAAGCAAACGCCACCGGAGTGAAGTAGGCGGGGCTTTGTACATTCCCGCCTCGGGGATTGGTCGAAGGCTCCTTGAGCGGCTTGAGCTCTGATTGGACAGTAGCACCGATGCCATCTGTCACTCCTGGTCAAGCCCCGCCCCTGCGCCCAGACTGCAGCCTGCTCGTGGACCGGGATCCGAACCTCTGCCGGAGATCGATCGATTGACTAGTTGATTTATTGATAGACTGACTGGTGCTTCCACGTGGACACTCGGGCGGGATGTCCCGGCTCTTGGAGGGAAGGAACAAGGACAAGATGAAAGAAATGAACGCAAAGGTGAGCCCGCTTGAAAGCAAAAAGAATGAACGAAAGGCGTCATTGATAATTGATTATCGATTAGGACCTGTCCGAAGCTTTAGTTACATTTATCGATATCACTTTGAGCCTCTTTTTTTCGGTTCCGCTTTTTCCCCCTCTCCTTTTCACCCTCCCCCCTCGTGGACCTGGCCGGCCCGCTTCTTTATTGTTCCTTATTCTTCTACCTTTAGTGTGAAAAGACGATATTGATCCGTGATCGGGAGATTGGTCGCTCGATCGCTTTGCGTTTGCCACAGTGGGAAGAGTTTGCCTGCGAGTGTGCGCGCGCGCGCGTGTGTACAGAAGCAACTTGGCGGAAATTGAAGCATTTTCTTCCGTTTAGGTTCGGGGAAAAAAATAAACATAAAAACAATACGTGACCTATTTTCACCCGGTACTGTCATGCGTGTGCGGCGGCGTGTGTTATGTTTGCCGCCGCGCGGGTGGTGTTTGCGCTTCTTCCGAGCCTCTGAGCGTGTGTGCGTGTCCGTTACTCGCAGCGTGGCCGCTTTGTCCTGCAAAGGAAACGGGCGGGGGGAGGGGAGGCGCGGCGCGCGCGTGCGCGTGAACAAACAGGAAGTGAAAATCTACCACGAGAAACAGTTAAAAGAACTTCATCGAGTACTTTCATACTCTTCCTGGTGGGTTGAATAGGGCTTGACCTGGAGGACCCAAACATGTTGTGAACCTCTACTGGAAGAAGTAGTTTCCAGCTCAGTCAGAATTTAAGACCAAACCGTCCATGTTCTGAGCATCAACGATTGAGTCAGAGCCATAAGGTGTTTACCGCCTGTCGTATTGGCAATCCCGGGACCCATTGATAGGCACTTGGCGGCGGGGATGCTGTAGAGATGAAGGAGAAGTTCTGTTGGGCCATTTTGTCCTGTGAGACTCCACAAGCGGATGATTGGTAGCGGCTGGCCACGCCAAATGCAGCTTTGGTGGGTGGTCACTGTGCTCAGAAAGGCAATGGAGACCCACTTCTGTATGGCGTTGGGGAAATTATGGTCACCCACCCAGCTTCTATGGAGAGGGAAGCATTTTCTCTCTCTCTCTCTCTCTCTCTCTCTCTCTCTCTCTCTCTCTCTCTCTCTCTCTCTCTCTCTCTCTGTGACTGCAACATGAGTTTAATGTTTAACCTGTGTGGTGTTTTCATTCTCCCTTCATGTTTGCATGGTCTCTCTCTGGCTTCCTACCACATTAAGATAACTCTTTATTAGTCCCATTACCTAAACATGTGTTTTTTTTTTGACATGACAATATCATTTGTAAAAGTTTTGTATCTACTGGATCTCACCTTTGTGAATACAGTAGATGACCACATTTTATTGAACAGCCTTCAAAGCCTGGGACTGTTTTTAATTTATTAAGCTCCAATCTCACAGAGTGAGGTTTCTTTGTAGGTATGGATCTTCCTGCAGGACACATGAACTTAAGTGTGGGTGCCCCAAGGCTCAATTTTAGGTCAGATTATTTTTCATCTCTTCATGCGTCGCCTTGGTGACGTCAGCAGGCGACACGGGATCAGCTTTCACGGTTATCCAGATAACACATCTCCTGACAAGACAGGGCACGAAGCTGGCCGTCTTTTTTCGTATTGCGAGCCTAATTTTATTCGACACCATAAGACCTTAATTATTATAGAATTTGAACATTTGAAGAATGGAGCCAGAGTCGGCCTGTTTCTTGATACATGCTTTTATTTCATGTCCTTTCGGTGATTGAAATGCCCTGCTCTGATGGAAATCAAAGGGCGGGAGCACGTTATGCCAGCGTTAATATCATGTCATTGGCACCCCCGTGTGTATTTTTGTATTTGTTTTCAAATACTGTATCTTAATGGTCTTGAGTCATTATATCTCTATAATATACCTGTACCAGATCAACCCTCTATTATATGTCTCGGCCAGAGTGAAAATCCGGCACTGTTGGCGCTCCCTGCGCCGTCACTCTTATATCTTCCTCGGTTCCTGTGAGGTGCCATGTGGGCGTGTGTTGTGCTGGTGGCTCTCTCTCTCTACTGGAGTCTCATGACACACACACACACACACACACACACACACGCAAACACACACGCAAACACACACGCACACACACACGCACACACACAGGGCGAGAGTCTTGAAAGTCCTGTCAGCTGATTTCTGAACTCTTGATGCTTTGCAGAAGGAAAAACATTTCAATGAGACAATCCTTGTTTTTATTGATGTTTTATATCCATTTGTGACTTTTATTTGTTGACATCTGGTGGCAAGGTTGTGAACAGATGTCGCAAATCAGCTTGTTGACATTTTTTCTGTTGTGTGACGGCATGTAAACACATGCACGAGCACTTCCTGTGCTGTGTGTGTGTGGAGGAGCAGAAGTGGGGGGGGGGAGAGTAGTTGCCTTCCTTATCCACATTGCATACCTAACACAAGCTGCCTCTCCTCAACTTTTCATTTCCATGAGGTCACCTTTTGTGTGTGTGTGTGTGCGTGTGTGCGTGCGTGTGTGCGTGTGTGAATGGATGTTTTTAGAACAAGGAGAAGGAGCGAGTCAAGGAGCGCGAGAAGGAGGCTCGCTCCAACAAAGGTCACCTGTTCACGTCTCTCACCGTCTCCTCCACCACTTTGTGCTCGGCATGCAACCGAAGCATCACCGCCAAGGAGGCCCTCAGCTGCCCTGGTAACACGCACGCAAGCAGTCACAACAATTAATATAGTCCAGCCAATGACATTTGTTGAATGATTGTAAACGATCTGTCTCTAATTAGTCCGTGTGTCTGCCGTGCGCGTCTGTCAGGTTGCAACGTGACCATTCACAACCGTTGCCGAGACAGTTTGGCGAACTGTGCCAAGATGAAGCAGAAGGTAATGGAGAAATGTGATTCCAAGTCAGTACATCACAGGTGTCGAACTCAAGGCCCGCAGGCCAGATGTGGCCCGCCACAACATTTTATGTGGCCCTCGAAAGCAAATCAAGCATGTCAAGTTCAATGATGCTTGCTAAAGTCTGAAACAAACTTTCAAATTGCCATATGTAATCCACAATAACAGTCGTTATTCTTGACTTCTGATTGTAAAACTAGGTATTGATCAGTTTGTTGTGCGCTGTGTATGTGATATGTGGAGGGGATTAAACATTGATATGGTTTCCCAAAATTCACAACGGCCCTCCAAGGGAAACTAACTACAATGTGGCCCGCGACAAAAAACGAGTTTGACACCGCTGCAGTACATGAACGACGACATTTGGTGGAGAAGTCAAAAGTGAAAAACATCAGCACCGGGGCGCGGTTGGTTTGAGGGAGGCCGACACGGGTCAAAATGTATACCACGATACCACTGTATAGGGGAAATTGGCAAATTATCGGCGTCGAATGGCATACTTGCTCTGAACAGACCTGCTTCTCGCTCACGTGTCCGCTTGCCTGTCTGGTTAACAGCAACAGAAGCTGGCGATGGCGAGGAACAGTTCGGCCCTTCAGAACGTTGCTCTGCGGGCAAAAAGTGAGTAAACTTGATTCTGCGGTGGAAGTCACGTCTATGTTGTAGTTGTGAAGAGTTCCTCATGTCCCTGTTCAGCCCCGGTGATGAAGGAGCGTCCCAGTTCGGCCATCTACCCATCAGACAGCCTCCGCCAGTCTCTGCTGGGTTCCCGAAGGGTCCGCTCGGGCCTCTCGCTCGCCAAGAGCGTCTCCACCAATAATATCGCCGGGTGAGTGGGAAGCACTATCTGACTGCTTCTCCGTCCATGT